GACAAAAAAAGTCCTATATGAAGGACCTTGGCAGGTGAGACCCTAGTGGAAAGAAGTGGTCATCAAAGAAGGAGGAATTTTTCTCTGAAGCGAGGAGAGAACTTGAACTTTGTTTATGGCCTTGGCTACAGATTGACAGAGACTGTGGGTTCAAAAGGCTTCCACAGCCTAGGCAGCTCATGTCAAGAGCCTTGGGTGGTCGCTGACATCACCTAAGAGCGTTAATTGTTAAGTTAATAACAGGAATCACTGTGTACTAACTTTCCATGCAGGATCTCTATCCTCAAAGAGTTGTATTATAATTATGTCTAAGTGCTTGCAAAAGATGTATCATTTTTAGATGCTTCTTTAAAGTTTAATTTCACTTTTTAGAAACATTTCAAGAAGCAATGATTTTGAACAGCCCTTTTCTCAGTTGTTGAGGAGCAGTTTTGTTTTTTTTTCCATGCAAATTGTTGAACTCTTTTAATTTTTTTTTTTTTGACAGGCAGAGTGGACAGTGAGAAAGACAGAGAGAAAAATCTTCCTTTCCTGTTGGTTCACCCTCCTATGCTGCCGCGCGCACCGCGCTGATCCCAAGGCAGGAGCCAGGTGCTTCTCCTGGTCTCCTATGGGGTGCAGGGCCCAAGCACTTGGGCCATCCTCCACTGCCCTCCCGGGCCATAGCAGAGAGCTGGACTGGAAGAGGGGCAACCGGGACAGAATCTGGCGCCCCGACCAGGACTAGAACCTGGTGTGCTGGCGCCGCAGGCAGAGGATTAGCCTATTGAGCTGCGGCGCCGGCCAAATTGTTGAACTCTTTTATAGAGTTGGTCTTCTGTGTATAAAGTTAACTGAAAATCGATCTTAGTGGAGGATGGGACTGGGAATGGGAGAGGGAGCAGGAGGAGGGGTGGGAGAGTGGGTGAGAGAGCAGGTATGGTGAGAAGAATCACTATATTTCTAAAGTTGTACTTATAAAATGCATGAAGTCTGTATTCCTTAAAAGGTTTCTTTGGGGGAGGATAATAGTGGGAATTGTAGAGGGAAGAGGTAGAGGGTGGGGTAGAGGGTGGGAGAGCAGGTACAATGAGAAGAATCACTATGTTCCTAAAGTTGTAGTTATGAAATGTATGACGTTTGTATTCATTAAATAAAAGGTTTCTCAGGGGAAAAGGAGACTAAAGATTTAAACCTCAAAAAATGATTATTCAGATATTATTAAATGGCCTGCCTTGCTTACTTAAAAAAAAACAAAAACAACAACAACAAAAAAAAAACAGTGATCCACACTACCATGAGAAGTTGGCAGGGCAACATGGAATTCTTTAAACTCTCTCTCTCTATATATATATATATATATATATATATCCTATATCACAAGATCAAGTGACAATTTGGCTTTTACACTGCTGTTGTGTGTAGCAATACTGGTGAAATGCAATACTATAAGAAATTACTTAATTTTAATCTCTGGAAGTGTCACAGTCTGGATTTGTCACTTCATTTACCAGGAAGGCTTTAGTACTTAAAATCACAGGATTAATTACTTTCCTACTTAAAGAAATAAGTACAATTTCTTGTAAAACATCAAAATGAAAGCAAAAGCATTTGATCCAATGATACACAGACATGATTACTTCTGGAATTAGAGAGAAGGTAAACACCGAGAGGAAACATGACACATCAAAGGACAACAAAGCAATAAACATAAATTGACGAAGTTAGTTTTCCTGGAAATTTAAAATTCTATCTGCTTGACTCTAGACAATAAGCGAAGTGAGTCTACAGTTGCAGATGTTTGACAGTAGCACTGAAGAGGCCGGCTAAGCCTTGAACCTTGGCAAGGAGCTAATGTGTCCACGGCACAATGACAGCCAGTCACGTGAACACCAACATACTGTCCCCCCCCCCCCAAGCTCTGCCTTCTGTTTCCAGGCTTCAGTCTTATTACCCCATCCCCTCTTTGGTCTATCTCAGTGGCAGGGACTATCTCAAAAGAACTAACCAATCACAGATATCTGCAGTACTACAGTAAATTGGCACAAGAGCATGTTTGCAAAGATCAAAGTCTGATCACTCACATTTAACTTTGTTCCCTTTCCCAAAAGGCTAACAATAACAACTAGAAATATTATCAAGAGGGAGGGGAACTGAAGGGAAATTTTTGACTGCTTCATATTCTCCGCCTCTCTGTTTCTGGAAGTACACGATTTAAGAGGAAAGAGCCTCAGAAGACATTCCATTTATCAGGTCTGATTATGGCTTTAGCTTTAGTTACACTAGATTGTCAACTGATCCCCAAGTTAACCGCAAACTCCAAACTCTATTCCTTTGCTTGTGCTATTCTAATAAAGCCTGTCTTACCTTTGACTATATGAAGGAAATTCATTCACAGTCTAGAATGAATGTCATCTGCTTTCAGGAGACACTGTAGCAGACTGTGAAGGACCTGGCATACTTCTCTCTGCCCTTCTTCCCTAGCAACAGATTCTCAGTTTTTAGCCTCCTGGTTAGTATTTAAAGAGCAGCCTATGAGGAAGTATACATAGGGATCAAAGAAATATCCTGGCTAGGACTCTGCCCTCATACCCTGATAATGCAGGCATGCTAAGTAGGCACTAACTCAGCAAATATTAAATGCCTACTTGTATTTATTATTGCTGCTGCTGTATAATGGTATTATGGACAATATTATTAATGTAGTAATATACAATATATCTGGAAATACAATAAATAGATCAATCATATGACCCAGCTATCCTGCTTCTGGGTAAGTATCCAATGGAAATGACATCAGCATATGAAAGAGATACCTTCATTCTCATGTGCTTTGCAACACATTCATAATTGCCAAGCTATAGAAAACCTAAGTGTCCATGGATAAATAATGGATAAGGAAAATATGGTATACATACACAATGGAACATTAGTCAGCCATCAGAAGGAATGAAATCCTGACATTAGAGGCAAAATAACTGAAATTGGTAGTCATTACATTAAGTGAAAGAAGTGACACACAGAAAGTTAACACGTGTTCTCTTTGATACATGAAAGTTAAAAAGACAGTCAATAAGAACTTAGAGCAGTGATTACTAGAGACTGGGAAGTGTGGGAGATAGAGGAGTCTGGATATGGGGTACAAGGTGCTTCATAGCACAGATGGACAACTACAGATCACAGTAACATGTTGTGTACCATAAAAAGAACTGGAGGAGAGGAACTAGTAGGCTGTAAATGTGGAGGAAAGGTAGGGAGGTGGGTATGTTGGCTGCCTGCTTTGATCAGCTTATACCTTCATATCTTTTGAAATTTTGCACTGTATCCCATAAAAATGTGCTAGTATTACTTGTTAATCAAAACATTAAAATAATTTTTAATAAAATATATATTAGGACATATAAGTTATAATGTAGCTCTAAAAATTACAAAGGGAAAGAAAAATCAATAGTTACGTCCTTAAAGAAATATTAAGTGGAATAAGATAAGAAAACAAGCAGCAGCAAATGCTCTGACAATAAGCACTGGTGCTTTCTACAACCCTACGGAACAGTAACCTGTATCATAGGGTTTGGATGTGACAAAAAACCGAATGAATTGATATCTACGCTGAGTCTAACAGACCGGGAGAACAGGAGGTATGGCTTCTTCAGACAGAATTGAACAGTGCAAAGGCCCAAGGATAAGAGGAAAATGCAGGCCACAGTGGGAGCTGAGCAAGAAGGGCAGATAGGGACAGACCAGCTAGGGCACAGTAGGCCTCGTTTTGCAAACTAAGACATCAGTACATCTTTGTGAAGGTAACGAATAACCCTTGAGAGGTTGTGAGAGCTTCATCAGCTCACACTGGCTGACTCAAAAGCAGGTACACATAAGAGGACACCACATTTCTACTTGGGTAAGTAGATGGACAGGGACAGAGAAGTGACAACAGAAGGAGGAGCCAAGATTGTTCTAGGACATGCTGAGTTGAAGTGTGTGTAAGGACATTTAGCAGTCAGCTGGCTATATGGGTCTGGGAGAACATTTGGGCTGAAGATAAAGATGTGAGAGTCAGGACCTAGGTGATGATTTAAGTAATGATTGTGGGTCACCATCCAAGTGAGAACAGTAGGAAGAGGGACAAGGACAGATCCCACAATTACTAGGATCTAAGGGTGAGAAAGAGAGAGAACAATCAAGGGGGCAGATAACAGAGATAATGAGGAAACCGGTGTACACAGCATACTAGGTCACTGTGACCTGGCATTATCCTAAACTAGTTTTCAGGTTCCTGATGTTTATGTCAGTCCTCTAGCTACTATGTTCATGCCTTTACCCCATGTGGCTATGAAACTGTAACAACACTTGAGCTCCGAGATACATTATCTGTTACCTGAACCTTCAGTCAATCACCGGTTTGAACCCCAAAACTTGCCCTATCACTGCTTTGATAAATACTCAGGATTTTGGCTTTTATTGAGACCTTGATTTTTGGCGTTTTCATTGTGCCTACTTGTTTCTCTGTGGGACTGACTGGTTTTATACCTGAACCTGTTACTATAAATGCCCAGCCCTGGGAAATACTCTGGTTATACTTTCAGGATTATATATCTAGACGTCATCTGAAATCTTAAATTCTGCCTGGAATAATAAATAAGCCTTCCTTGACATGACCTGGGACCCAAGCCCCATAGCTAAAACAAAGGTCACAAATCCAGGTACGAAGCATCATAGGTAAGGCTTGAAATGGAAAAGCCTCTCAGAATTACCTAGAAAACAAAAATGAACCCTACTGCAGTAGAGACCATGTCAGGACATACATGGCCACCTAAATACCTATGATGAGAACCACTAATGCCAACTATATCTTGAGTAGGCTGATGTGCCTGGATGACAGGTCTGTATCAGTAAATCCTGAAACACGAAACATCACATTTCATTTTAGGTTAATTACCATAAAATCTAGCAAGTATTGTTAAAATTTCAAGAGGAATAGGAAAACTAAGAGTTTTAATATAACTCCATGAATTTTTAAAAACCAGTGCACTTACCAACATGGATGTTATCTTTAAATGCCACGTCATGGAGCTGAAATATCAGATGGCGGCTAAATTTTTCATCAGTGCTAGAATCCAAGTTGAAAACATCTTCAGCTGAGCACCTTACACTATATAAGTCCTGAAGCGCTCTACAGACATGCTAAAAACACAAAGCGTAAATATTTTTTTTTTATTTTCTATGAACAAATTCAAGTATCTTGGTACCAGTAAGTTTAACTAATACAAAATCATTAAAAATTAGCTTTACTGGCCAGTGCCGCGGCTCACTAGGCTAATCCTCCGCCTTGTGGCGCCGGCACATGGGGTTCTAGTCCCGGTCGGGGCGCCAGATTCTGTCCCGGTTGCCCCTCTTCAGGCCAGCTCTCTGCGTGGCCAGGGAGTACAGTGGAGGATGGCCCAAGTGCTTGGGTCCCGCATCTGCATGGGAGACCAAGAGGAAGCACCTGGCTCCTGATCAGCACAGCATGCCAGCCGTAGCGGCCATTTTGGGGGTGAACCAACGGAAGGAAGACCTTTCTAACTCTGCCTGTCAAAAAAATAATTAGCTTTACTATCAGGTTGTGTACAATATAACTTTACTAATTTATTTATAACTGAAGACCTGTAATTTTTTAAATTATATGTTTATATTTTTAAAAACTCAGGCTCTCAGGATTGAAGAGGCCTCTTAGCAGCCAAATAATTTGTACATTAACCTCCTCTACAATCACATTAAAAATATTTTAAGCATCTCTTTAAATGTCACCTCTGAGTTTAAAAGTTATTTTATAGTTCCAATTCTCAGAAAATTTCTCATTATATTGAACCCAAAAACCACTTCCAAGAAACCACCTTTGGTGCTAGAAGACACTGACATGGAAAGCAGTCATGCATTGTGGAAAGGCAGCAGCACATACTTGGAACAAAAGATTTGAAGTCAGAGGTCTAAGTTTGAGTTCTGGTTTTGACGTTTACCACCTCTAACTTTAACCAAACCTAGATACATTCTTCAACTGCTAAGCAGGAAAAATAGCAGCTAACTTTGGAATCATGAAAGGAGTAAAATAAGAAAACGAGATTAAAGAGTTAGCACAGTGCCTGGCACATGTAAGTGCCTAGAAGTATTGGCTATGCAACCTTAAGACAAGGCACTTCTCCCTAGGCTTCAGTCTTCTCATTTGCAAAATGAAGCCACTAAGAACCTCCAGATAGGGTTATTTGGAGATTAGCCAAAAGGTTTAGCACCACCAAATACTTAGATACCCAACAGTTACGCAATAAACTAGAATTATTAGCTGGGGCCGGCACTGTGGCAGAACAGGTTAACGCCCTGGCCTGAAGCGCTGGCATCCCATACGGGGCAGAGGTTTGAGACTCAGCTGCTCCACTTCCAATCCAGCTCTCTGTCTATTATGGCCTGGGAAAGCAGTAGATGGCCCAAGACCTTGGGCCCCTGCACCCACGTGGGAGACCTGGAAGAAGCTCCTGGCTCCTGACTGGCACAGCTCCGGCCATTGTGGCCCAATGGGGAGTGAACCAACGGGTAGAAGACCTCTCTCTGCCTCTCCTCTGTGTAACTCTTTCAAATAAACAAATCTTTTTTAAAAAAATTAGCATCACTTTGGCATTATTCTAGCACCACACTCCCCTTCATACTTTTCAATTCTCATTTTCTCAAAAGGTGGCCTCAGTGTCCCAGTCTGCATCAAATTCCCCCATGTAGTCCAACTCACTTTCTAGTACTTAGTTACTATTTTACTTGATCATTTACTTGATTGTCTTGATGTTTCCTCTGTATCACAGAGGTTATCCCCCAACATCTAATTTCTCCCTCTTCCCTAGAAACAGAACCACAATTTTTAGCTAAATGGAGGCCAGCTAGAACAAAGATACTTCCCCCACTCTGTTATAATAGGGCACAGGCATGTGTCCAAGTCTTGCCAGTAGGGGGTCAGAAGAAGGTGGTTTGCCACTTTAGGCTTCATTCTTAAAGGGGAGAAGTAGGCGCGGCTCTTCTCCATTCAACTGACTAGAAGGCAGACAACTTGGGGTGAGCCACCTTGGACGGTATCAATAAGGCAACATCTTAGGAACAGCAAAGCAAAAGACTAGTCCCTAACAGTGGAGCCACACTGGATGTTACATGAGACAGAAATAAGGTTGTATCTTGTTTAAATTGCATCTACCCTAGATTAGATTATAAATTCCTTGAACTCAAACTTTAAGCTCACTATTATATTCCCAAGGCAAGGCACTGTGTCTGATGCTTAGCAAAACTTGAAAATATTTTACTAAATGAATAAAGCTGAGTTGTTAGCTTTGGAACTACAGAGAATAAATTTAGGTACCCTAGGTAATATAAGTAATCACACTCTATTAGATTCTCTTTCCCAAGTGAAACTTTAAGTAAACATTTTTTCAGAGTTACAGAGAGGTAGAGCCAGATTGAGAGAAGACTTCCATCCGCTGGTTCACTCCCCAGACGACCACAGCAGCCAGAGCTGAACTGATCTGAATCCAGAGAGCCAGGAGCTGCTTCTGGGTCTCCGACGCGGATGCAAGGGGCAAGGACTTGGGCCATCTTCTACTGCTTTTCCAGGCCATAGCAGAGAGCCGGATTGGACTTGCAGCAGCCGGGACTCGAACCAGCACCCACATGGGATGCTGGCACTTTGGGCCAGGGCTTTAACCTGTTGTGTCACAGTGCTGACCCCTAAATAAACATTTAAGTTCTTTAAATGTAAACATAAAATCATTGTGGAAAATAGCATGGAGGTTCCTCAAAGCACTAAAAATAGAACTACCATGTGACCCAGGCATCCCTCTTCTGGGCATATATCTAAGAGAAATGAAATCGATCTGCCAAAGAGCTAACTGCATGCCCGTGTTTATTGCAGCACTACTCACAATAGCCAGGTGTCCATCAGCGAATGCATGGATAAAGATGTGGGGTATATATCACTATTACTCAGCTATAAAAAAAAGTCTTGTCATTTCCAACAATGTGGATGCAAGTGGAGGTCAGTATGTTAAGTGAAATAAGCCAAGCACAGAAAAACAAGTATCATATGATCTCATTCATATGTGGACTCTAAAAAAATTAGGTGATCTCACAGAAGTTAAAAATATAATTGTGGTTACAGAGGCTAGAGTAGGAAGTGACAAGGGAGGGATGGGCAAAGGTTGATTGATGGGTACCAGGCTATAGCTAGATAGGAATAAGAAATTCTGGGGTTCTATTACACAGTGGGCTGCAGATAATATTATTTGACTGTATACTTCTCTATTTAAAAAGCAGAAGATGGGATTTTTCCATGTATCATGGGAAAGAAATGTTAATGCTGGAAAAGATAACTCCCCTGACTGGACATTATACAACCACATACATCACGGAACAGCACACGGTACCCCATAAGTATGTACACATGTCTATGCCTTTAACTTTTTAAAAATACTTTATAAAGAAAATTGTATTTAAATAATTTATAGAATCCAGAAGTTAAAAATGTGTGATCGTAGAGGAATGCTACCTGTTGAAAGGCTTTATAAAAGTGGAGCAGCCGGGACCCGAACCAGCACCCACATGGGATGCCAACACTGCAGGTGGCAGCTTTACCTGCTACGCCACAGCGTCTGCCCCATCTACACATTTTTAATACAACTTCATAGAATATAATCTTTAAATTTTTAAAAAATAATCCTAATAGAACTTAGCTGTTCAAACCCACATTATCCTTTTTAGTAACTTCCTGTTTGACGCAGCTCAACTAAAAATACTAGAACTACATTCTTTTTCTGAAAGTTGCTAACAGTGACAATGGTATTTCTAGACAAGGTTTTGTAAACAACTAGCTGCAGAGCACTGGGTAGGAGTCTCTTCTAGGTCTTTCCTCTTTCATGAAGCTACAAGAAAAAAATGCTTTCCAGAATTCCTGCCAGTTCAAACATTCTGATACTACTTTTAGTCCAAGCTTCCTTTAACTTCATTTCTGTATCAATTTTTATAGTACAATTACTTTGCCTGGTCTTTACCAGCATTGGCTATATGTGATGGAGTTTAGAGAATTAACATGTAACTGCAAACCGCAGATAATCCCAACATTTCTATCTTTATGAAGGCTAAAAGAAAAAAAATTCACTTGAGAGGCAGAGTTAAAGAGAGAGGGACAGAGAGAGGTCTTTGATCTACTGGTTCACTCCCCAAATGGCCGAAACGGCTGGAGCTGGGCTGATCTGAAGCCAGGAGCTTCTTCCGTGTCTCTCACACAGTGCAGGGCCCACACACTTGGGCCATCTTTTACTGCTTTCCCAGGCTATCAGCAGGGAGCTGGATCAGAAGCAGAGCAGCCAGGACTTGAACTAGCGCCCATATGAGATGCTGGTGCCACAGGCAGATGCTTAAACTACTACACCACAGCGCCAGCCCCTCAAGGCTTTTTTTTTTTTTTAAATCCAGGTATAGTAATAGTACAAAATATGTGGACATAAGTTGGACTTTTCACAGTTTACCACAGAAGTGATATTTAAAAATCAAAGTCACAAGGAAAAGTCACAAGAAAAGGAGGAGAAACGTTACGTAGATAGGACTGAGTAACTGAATGAAGAGATGAATGGACAGCTACAAAGAAAAAAAATTTGAGGTCTCCCATTTACCTCAATGAGTAATGCAACCATCTTTTTCCCGTCAGCTCCTGGATTGGCAGGTTTGTTAAATTCCAAATCAAAATAAAGCTTGCACACAGCACTTTCAGGAATAACTTCATAGCAGTGCAAGAGATTTTTTCTAAATTGAATAATTCAAAAGTATTATTTATATTTGTACCTTTTGAATGATGGAAGTTGATCTGATCAAGTACTGTGTTAACTATGCTTAAGTACAGGTAACTAGGAAATAATGACAAGATAACATGAACCTGTTCACAACAGGTTTCCGGCTCATAGTGTCAACAATTTCTATTAAATAAGATTTAACAATCATACTCAGTTAACATTACTTAACTGGAAAACAGTCAATCCTATAGTGTTATTCATTACACAGATGATTTTGATCATGTATAATATTTCTGTATTTTGTTTTGGTGTCACTATGAAATAAATTGAGAAAACAATGTTCTTTCTCAAACTGGGATCCCAGAAAGATATACTCTTGGGATTCCATGAATTCTCCATAAGAACTGTAAAATTTTATGTTAGGAAGATAATATTTTTAAAGTGGTAAAAAATTCTAAATTAGCTGATTTCAATAAACTTCCAGTGCTCATATTTCTAGTTATATTCTTGTTGGTATACAGAGGATTACTTTCACATGGCTTATTAAGAATAGACACTAGCCTAGTAAATAAATGATATGTGGGCTAAGTCAAGTTCAGCTGGCCTCCTTTACAAATAAAAGGTTTGCAGTAATTTGAAGAAAAGTGAAAGAATTGTATCATCACATGGCATGGGTAGGATTGGATCTCAACACATACTCTGAAGCAGTCAGCATCATCTTTATGTTGCACGAAGAGATTTAGTTTCAGCAAAATATCTTTCATGTTATCTTAATGACTTTAATTCAACTCCACCTGGCACTGCATGTATGTAGACGTAAGTAAATCTACATGGTGTTGCATGTTTACAAACACAAAACTACTCAAGCAACTTTGTAATAAAAGTACTTTTAAGTCAATACAAGGCATCCATATTGACTCTTTTCCATACACAAGTCTGAAACATAGTTGAATAGGTCACTCAGATAAAGCAGGTATTACATAATATGAGTATTCATTTATGATTAATAGTACAATTTAATATGTATTTGAAAAAGGATTTCTTTTGGATACATGAACAGGTGTTTGCACGATTTTCTTCAACACTTGGTGAGACAACTGCGTGATGCCATGAGGAGAACTGCAGAGAATTAATCTGGAAAGAAATAACTAACCATGTAGTCAAGAACTGTGAAAGCTAATCCAGCCTCAATTTCACCAAAATTTCTAGATTTGGTAAATATAACTTTAATGTGTTGTTCTGTTACAAACAACTTACCGGGATTTATAGTAAAACCAAAGCTGAGCATAGGTTGTTACAAGATAAATACGTTGTCCGTCTCCCATTTTGTATTCCAAAGCAAATACATGAACATCCTATATAAAATAAAAAATATTCAAAAAAGTAAAAAAAAATCTAAATTCAACTGTAGCTACTGAATTTTATTCAATTTTCAGATTTTTAAAAATACCAGGTTCTGAAACAGAAGTTCAAAAATTGATTTATTTGAAAGGCAGAGTTATAGACCGAGATCTTCCATCCACTGGTTCATTCCCCAAATGCCTGCAAACTCAAGTTTAAGAAATCTTATAGATCTATAAAAAATTTAAAATGAGGCAATTACCTGTTTACAGCTTTTAACGAAATTAAAAGCTTCAGTTTGACGACGAAATAGCTTCCAAATGGAGGGCGGTTGCTCTGGCCTGGACAGGCTTGGTCTATACACTGAGCACAGTGGTTTCCTCTTGTAATGAGATGCTCGCTCCTCAATCTGCTTCAGTTTTTCTTCCCACTTTCTATTCATTGGTTCAGAAGGCAAGAACAATTCCTACGCCATGTGATCTTTCTATCGATTACTGCTAAAAGCAAAAAGACTATTAGTTTCTTTATTTAGAATTTTTGTTTGATTAGATTTCAAAACTCATTTCCTGGCACTTATTTTCTTGTGGGCTTTATATTTTATTCTTTGGATGGAGGGTTTTTTTTGTTTTGTTTTGTTTTGTTTTTCTTTCTTTTTTTTTTTTTTTTTTTTTTGACAGGCAGAGTGGACAGTGAGAGAGAGACAGAGAGAAAGGTCTTCCTTTTGCCGTTGGTTCACCCTCCAATGGCTGCCGCCACAGGTGCACTGCGGCCGGCGTGCCGCACTGATCCGAAGCCAGGACCCAGGTGCTTCTCCTGGTCTCCCATGGGGGTGCAGGGCCCAAGCACTTGGGCCATCCTCCACTGCACTCCCAGGCCACAGCAGAGAGCTGGCCTGGAAGAGGGGCAACCAGGACAGAATCCGGCACCCTGACCGGGACAAGAACCCCGTGTGCCAGCGCCGCAAGGCGGAGGATTAGCCTATTGAGCCACGGCGCCGGCCTATGTGCCAATGTTAAGCCATGGTGCTGTCTAAAATACATCATTGGTTTTCACATTTAATCATCAAATTGTTGTATATATCTTTATACTTACAAGGGTTTCCAAATAGTTTACTCAAACAAACCAACTGATTAAGGTAGATTTTATTCTTACTTTATTAAACACTTCCTATGTCAGTATTGCATTTTTCAGAGTTTCAACACAATTAGTAGTCTTTTAGCTATTATTTTATGAAACTCTAAACCATACAGATTTTGCATGCAATATTGTAACACAGATTATCTTTTAATGTAATGCACCACTTTAAGAGATTAAGGAAAGAGAAAAGAGTGACCATATTAACAGATAAAACAGCTCTTTTCAAGTCAAACAAAATCTTAACACATTTAGAATAAATGGGAATTTCCTTGATACTTACGAAAACATACATTTCATGATGAAACACTGAAAAATTCCTTTAAATTTTGAAACTAGGTAAAAATGTTAATTATCTTATTTGAGGTCTTCAATGCAAAAAATACAAAAAAGAAAACCTGTTGATTTGAAATGCTTATACATATATATACATACACAAATCTCATGATATGTTCAAATATATGCAAGCTTTCTGCAAAAGCATGCTAAATGAGAAATTCAGAATTAATTTCAAAAACCAAAGAAATAAATTGAAATTTAAAAAAAATTGAAATTGATTTATCTGTTTTCTCATACTATCCCTCCACAACTTATGATTATAAAAAGGAAATGACAAAGAATTATGAGATTGTAGAGACTGGTTAATAGCTTGCTTTGATGAGAGTGGATAATATATGTGCATTTCACCCAAGCTCTACAATGAAATTGATAAGGAGAGTGCATCCTATATGCCAAGATGCCAAAAGAAGAAGGCCCTCAATGTCACTACTTGAAGAATTTGATATATGACCCTGAAATTTAGAACACACATGGTCCACTGGCTGTCTACTGGATAGAAATCTAGAAAACATAAGAGGAGAGGTGACAAGCTGCTTGAGTGAGGAATGAAAATTAGGCGACTTATTTAAGGTCAGCCTGTGTCCCAGAGTTTGCTCCGTTTTCAGGGGGATTAGTACTTTCCAAGAATGAGATATGAGCCTTGGAGAAGAAAGATCTGGCTTACAGCTGTTTTGACCCCTGTCTAAAATGATCAAATGGTGATGTTTAAGTAAGTCTATGCCACTCTGAATACTTAGAGACTAAAGCCTAGTACAGAAACAGAAGTTTCTGATAGTTTTAGTAAGAGGGGAACCAGAAGGGGCTTCTGTGGAACTTGTGAAAGCACATTACAGTGACTTTAAACATCTGCCAGGCTCAAGCTTATTAAAGCCAAACATAAAATTTGTTTTAAGTTAAAGCACTCAGACATCTTAAATTTTCTTTGAAGTAATTGAACAAATAATCAGTTTTTTTTTAATTTAAAAAATTGGCAAGATAATTTTTTTTTAAAGGTTAGTCATCAAATGCTTTATTAAGGCATTTAGAATAATCATTAAAGGGACTGCTTGTAGTACTCCACTTCACAGATGGGCAAACTGAGGCAAAGTGTCATACTACTATTGTTTCAGTTATGCAGTTCACTAAAACAAGGACAGTGCACTTCATAAGTTCTCTATTCGCAGACCAAAGTTCCTTCCTGCTTTGAGCAATGAGAGAAATTATGGTGTTGCTGAGATTGTTATGTGGTGATTGCTTTTTTTTTTATCTTTTATTTAATGAATATAAATTTCCAAAGTACGACTCATGTGTTACAATGGCTTCCCCCCCCCATACCGTCCCTCCCACCCACAACCCTCCCCTTTCCCACTCCCTCTCCCCTTCCATTCACATCAAGATTCATTTTCGATTATCTTAATATACAGAAGATCAGCTTAGTATACCTTAAGTAAGTATTTCAACAGTTTGCTCCCACACAGAAACATAAAGTGAAAAATAATAGATGATTTTTTTTACATGATGATGAAATCAGATCAGACCTATTGTCATGTTTAATCCCAGTGAGAGTCAAGTTGGGAATTGATAATTTCTTTTTTTTTCTTTTTTTTTTTTTTTACAGAAGATCAGTTTAGTGTACATTAAGTAAAGATTTCAATCGTTTGCACCCCCATAGAAACACAGATTTCGTGATAGGAAATTTCCACACCTGATGTCAAAACTTATTTTAAAGACATAGCAGGGATGGGCATTTGGCACAGTGATTAAGATGTCATGGGTTGTTTCTGTTCCATGTAAGAGTGCTCTTTGAGTTCTGGCTGCTCCACTGCAGATTCCCTGAGAGACAGTGGATAATGACTCAAGCCTTGGTTCCCTTCGACCTACATGGGATACCTGGGTTGAGTTCCAGGTTCCCAGTTTGGGCTGGCTGCAGCTTCACATGTTATGGGCATTTGGGGTGTGGACCTGCAGATCAGAGAACTCTATCTGGCACACTCTTTCTCCCTCTCTCTTGCCCTGTCTTTCTGCCCTGCAAGTAAGATCAAATAAATAAGTATAAGAAAGAGGTCACATAATTCATCCATGTATGAGGATCCTTCAAAAACTTAAGATGAAATTGGAGTTAAAGATAAATTTATTTGGTACAAAAATATTTTGAAATCCATGCATAGCTTTTCAAGACACACATTTTTCATTAATTTTTTTGTGAGCCCCTCGTGTGTATTGATTTTAAATTTTATTTTGCAACAGAAGAAACATGTTTTATGTTCAATATCTATGACCTTTTTGAAGTCCATGGATAATACATTTACAAAAGCTATGTTAGAAATCAAAGGAAAACAATGGTCTATTGACTCCAGTTAATAAATTATCCTAGAATAACTGGGAATAGGGGATGTAGAGCCTCATTCACCTCACATAATGCATAAAATAAATTCCTGGTGAATTAAAAACAGTGATTTCAGGATAGAAATATAAAACTTATTGAAAATCGAATAGGAAAATATTATTAACTAAGAGTGAAGACAATTTTTTCTCTTGAAAAAGATAACAGAAGAATGCACTAAAAAGAAAATATTGAGTAAATTTTGATTTTGTTAACATTACAAATCCCAACACAACAGATGACTGCATAAACAAAGAGGGGGGAAATGCTGTAGAGTATGAAAAGATATGTACAATACTGGGATCTATAGACCAGCTTTTAAACTAGAAAAAATAGCAGTTGATGTGAGAAGATAGCTGAATGGCCAGCAAACACATGAAAAAAATGTGTTGACTGGAGCTACATTTAAATACTATTTGACAACTGCTGGATCCCAAGGAATGCTAACATCTAGTAATATCAATGTGGGTAAGGATATGGAGACATAGAAAATCTTATATACTATTGGTTGGGAGTACAAGTTTGTAGAATCAGAAAATATTTGGAGAAACTTCTCAACAACTGGTAAAGTTCAAGATGTTATACTCTACAACACAACTATTCTCCTTAATAGGGTCCTAGAAAAACTAATACATGAACACAATAAGACATGCGTAAGAATGTTAATTGTGGCTTTAGAAACAGCTGTCAGACGTCTAGATCAACACATTTGGTTGGATTCATAAATATATTATTCTACTAAGTTAAACAAAATGAATGAACCTGGAAATAGAAGACAGTATGATGCAGAATGGAAGAAAGTGGAATTATTTTAAAAGGAATGCAGAATAATCAAGGAAAACAATATAGAACAATATTGAAAATATTAGCAATAAGAGTAAACACAATAAAAAGTACTATGTTCTCACTTGTGCATTACATAATCAATTCTCTGACTGCCCATTCCCACCTAAGTCTTCTTTGTAACATCATAAAAGCATAGCTCTTAAATGTATTTAATTTAGCTCCTAGGTCTTTCAGAATATCTTACATAATCCCAAAGTTAGTCTGAAATATTTAAATAAGTCTAGGTCAAGACTTCTTTACTATTTTAAGAAATGCTGGAGTTATAAGATGTCACCTGATTTTACTTTTCTGTTCCACAAGTCTGTACATATTCTTTTATTTTTTTAAGAAAATTGGGTTCAATTAGGGTATTAATTCTTTGGTTCAGTTATTATTAATCAGTCATGGTTAATTGTTTTTAAACAATACTATATCCAACTAATAGGATAGAAAATGATAGTTTCTTGATTACCTGAAAACAGACTGAACTAATTATATTTTTGTCTGCAATATAAAAACAAAATCAGGAGTGGCCTACATTTAAGATATGGATTAAGATACCTGAATCCCATATGAGAATTCCTGGGTCCTCTACCAGGCTTTGGTTCCTGAATCTAGCTTCCTGCTAATGTAGACCTTAACATGTAGTGGTGATGGGTCAAGTATTTGGTTTCCATCCCCATAAAGGAGACCTGGATTGAGTTCTTGGCTCCAAGCTTCAGCCTTGGCACAACCTCAGAAGTACTGCACATTTGAGGAATGAACTGGAAGAATGGAGTTCTTTCTCTGTCTCCCAGTATTATAAATTAATTAAATGATTAAGTAGAAATAAATCAAGGTAAGAAGTTATTAGTGAGTTGACAAGGTACTGTTAAAACCTATAATATTTAATCCTTCTATTTATTAGAAAGCAATGAAAAGGTAAATGAATGACTAGCTATAGAAAACAGAACAAGGTTGTT